GTAGCAATTCATTTGTTGGCAAAAAATGTCACTTTCTTCATGCAATTAACCCGAAATTTCGCCAAATATGTTATGAAGGTGATTTTTACCTGATTTCATGAAACTTGAATCAAAATATATAAAACTTGCCTTGGTTTTATATTTTCAATCCAAAAATCCTAAGTTTGATAAGAAAAGTAAGTACAAAAATGGACTCATCAATCTCCTCACACTTAAGCGTTGCTTGTCCTCAAGCGACAAATCGGTTGCAGACACACTCAAAAAGGTAAAACCTGACCGTATTACAATCGAGTTGCTATTAAAGAAATAGAAACAAAAACCTCTTCTTTTATTCTCAAGTTTTAAACATTTTAGAAAAATCACCCTAAATACAAGAATTTAAAATTATTATTACTTAAAAAAACTATTGATTATGTTAAGCCACCAATCAATTCCTTATCCCAATATTTTCATTATTCTAATTTGGACATTTATCTTATTCACAAATTTTTTTTGCCTCTTTTCCACTCTGGTTGGCGGTGTTATCCCATGGTAGATGCATATTTCATTCTCACGGACTATGATTAACGAATGAAACAGAGCTCCTTTTCAGAGATAGAATTGTCCTATAACAATGAGTTTTGAAGAGATTTATTGATAATAGTATTTTTCCCTCTTTCCCACTCTTGTTGGCGGTGTTATTCCATGGTAATGCATATTTCATTCTCACAGACTATGATTAACGAATGAAACAGAGCCCCTTTTCGGAGATGGAATTGTCCTATAACAATGAGTTTTGAAGAGATTTATTAATAATAGTATTTTTGTTTTATGAATAAAATGAATGTCCAATTAAAACAAAATTAGCCTTTTACATTCGCAACCAAAAACCAATAACAATTTCAAGTTTTCTAAAAATAATAATAAAAGTAAATTCTTATAATAAGTGTTAGTACCCAATTTTGATAGATTTTGATGATGTCACTATACTTAGCACGTGTACCTTGTTTCTCAATATTATTCGTATGTTAGCATTCAAAATTATGTGACAAAAATAAATGTACAATTTTTGAGTCAATTTGAATATTACCCGAAAAATTAAAATGCAATAAGGTAATTTCTATTCTACCTTAATAGGATATTTAGATCCTACCGGTATATATTATTTTAGCTCAAAAGTTAACTGTATGTCACATTATTAAAGAAAAGAAGCTCGGAGATTATATACATTGAATGTATACGATTGAAGACAAAATTGACTAGCATTAAATGCTAAAATTGTACTGGGGTCCTTGGCATTGAAGACGCGCATATGGAATTGTCGTTGAAAGGATGTTTCAGCAGCTGAATAATGCAGGACAAAGAAATAACCCGAAAATCAACTCCAGCACAAGAAGACGAAAGTACAATTCGTCCTTGTAAGAATTTCAACGTCAGAGATTAGTTCATCCTAACCAACGGATAAGATTAATCCATAGGAGAAGCCTATAAATATAGGCTGAAACGAAAGTTTCTAACCAAGCTTTGAGCATCCAAAGAGAGAAGTTCTATCACGAGCATTCACGAGATATCTAGCAAAAGAGAAAGTGCTATTCTAAACTTTACTCTCTGCTTGGACTCATGCTTCACTAAACTTCCAGTTTACAAGCTTTTCATTGTTAAATCATAGAAGTTTAGTTCCTAGTTGGAGGTTAGAACTTTCTTGTAACAAATCACATATTGTTGTAAACACTTAGGAGAACAGTTGTTCGGATCCTACAGTGTAAGTAGATAGATAGAGTACCTTTTGATCCCCACTGGTTCATTAGAGAAAAGTCTAAGGACTGAGTAACTTTGAGTGGTGCTATACTCATTGTGAAAAACCTTCAATCTAGGCCTAAGTGTTGTAAAGGCTAGATTGGCACTAAGTGTATTGGGTTTAATACTTTAGTGAAATCCATCTGAAAGAGGGTGGGACTGGACGTAGGAGGATTACACCACCTCTGAACCAGGATATACTGTGTGTTGATTTACTTTCATTCAACAAAGCACACACTTAGCACCTCTTACAAAAAGATTAAAGTTTGCCAGCAGAATCCTAACCAGTTGTCTTAACTGACTCAACTGCTTATCCTACTGCTTAATTACTTACTTTCTTTGAGATCATTTTCATACAAGAGAAGTGCACCAATATCACCAAAAGGCCTATTCTTATATTTCAAGAAACTCATAGCAGGTGCCTCAGCAGTTCCCTGGAATCCACCCAACTGTTGAGCCCTCTGCTCATATATACTTGCTTCTTGTCAACATCTCAAACATCACCAGACTGTCACTACATCATCAAGAAGTTTGCTTAACCCAATAAGTATTTGACCCAAGCAGGTGCCTCAGCAGTTCCCTCACATTCATCCAACTGCCGAGTCCACTGCCTCAGTAAAAAGCTATAGTTTCTTTTCACTTAAGCATACTTACTAAAAGACCTTATCATACTCATCAATCAACTATCCTTACCTTCATCATATACTCTGCATTTCCTGAGCAGTTGCCTCAGCAGTTCCCTGCTCTTAGCCACCTGCTAAGCCAACTGCTAGCATTCTAAGCCAAATACTCTCCAAGTTAGAAAGTGGCTAAACACTCATTACATAAAGGGTAAAGACTTCCGTTGTGCATCTATAAAACTCTCAAAAGTTTGTAGATTAACTCTTTAGAGGGAAAACTTTTAAAAGTTGAAAAAGATTTAAATCTCTATTCATCCCCCCCCCTAGACTTTTACCCTATCTGGGACCATCAATAAGGGTGATTCTCTAAGCTATTGTGAGATTGATAAAAATTGAGAAGTGAATGTTTCATATCAAAAATAGTAAAAAGATTGATCTAAAACAAGGTTTTAACTTTTTGTGTGTAAAACGAAACCTCCTCACATTTGAGCTGGACCTCGCCCTCGAGGTCACTTTTTAATACACAAAGTTTTGAAATAAAGGCACTTTTTTTTTCTTTCCTCACACTTGAGTTTTGAAAAAATTTTGTGAAGAGGAATGATGAAAACATGAATAAAATTGTTTTAAAAATATCCTTACATCATCCATAGTCAGTTTTTTTTGAAATTGGGTGAAAGCGTTCAACTCACAATTTATTTATTAAAGCACAACCTGCAATCACACAAAACAAAAAAAAAACAAAGCTATGAAAAACATGGGTTGCCTCCCAAGAAGCGCTTATTTAACGTCACTAGCTTGACGTTTGAGAGAGAACTCTCTGTAATGCAAATCAGTTGTGGAGCACTCATCATTAGTGCCTCCACCTTATCCTCCAGGTATGCCGTCAGATGACGTAAACCTTTGAACTCTTGAGACCACCAAAATGTGATATAATCTTTGAAGAACACGTCATTTGAACAAGGAATTAGCACATATCCTGCATCACTCTCATTAGTAGAATCAACAAGTATTTTAGGTTCAGGTGCCTCTGGTTTCTCCAACTGCTCAAATGGAGCCATCAAGGTAAAAGTAGTCTGACTAGAGATTTCATACTCCTCTTGATGGGTTTTCTCTTCCTCATTTATGCCCCCACAAATATCATCTAGGCAAACAGATCCTTGCCTAGCACAACTATGTTCGTCATCATTGAGTAGAGAGTCAAAGAAGGCGTCATCGGAGAATGTTTCCTCCAAATCACACGTGTCAATAACAACTTCAATAGTCAGAGTTGTGGGACAGAGTTGTGGATGAAGGGCCTTGGTCTTTTGAGCAGAATTTGGTGGTTATCAAAAGGTTGGAAGGCACTGATAAACCTTTGGAGATTGCACTGCACCATGCAGACTTTTGGGTTCACGTTCATGATTTACCGCTAAGTTACATGACGGCAAGGACTACACGAGGAATAGGCAACAACATTGGTAAGTTTGTGCAATTGGATGAGAGCTACTCCGGCGGAAAGCAAAGACTGGTTATGCGCATTAGGGTCACTCTGAATGTTAACTTGGCTTTAACCCGGCGTTTACAAGTTAGACAGGAGGGAGACGGCTGGATTTGGGTAAATTTTAAATATGAGAGACTCCCAAACTTTTGTTTTCTATGTGGGATTCTTGGTCACGCTGATTGATTTTGTTCCTCTAATCCGCACAGTGGGTTGGGAATTGGAGCATATTAATTTGGGCTTGTGTACGATCAATATCTTCATCAAGGCTATCTTTCAAGGACTCTTTAGGTGAGAGATCATCCATAGATGGTAGGGTAGGGCCGGTATCACAAAGTATCTCTTCAACTATGGTCTCTTCATCAACCTCAGTGGGCACTTCCAGATTGAGTTCTTCAGGACGTAGAAGGGCTTCTCTAGGGGTGGCAGTGACGTAGAGGGGGCTGGGAGGGGGTTGGGAGATGGCTGAGGGCTGGGAGGGGGCTGGGGACTAAGCGTGGCTGGGGAGGTGGTTGGGGGTTGGGAGGATGGGGAGTTGAGTCAGGGCTACTGTGGGGTTGGGGTGGGGGCTACTGTGGGGTTGGGGTGACAGGGGAGGGGGCTGGGGTTTGGTGGCCGCCGGCGGTGGTTGAATGGACGGAGAGGGTGCTGGAGGTAGGCAGCACAGGTGGACTGGGGAGGTGGTGCTTAGGGATATGGGCCAAGGAGAGTGGTTGCGTTGCCGGAGCTGTGGGATTGTGATGGGGCAGAGGGCGGTGGTCGACGGCGGCAGTGGCGGCTGGGCTGTGTAGCTGGACGGCGGTAGTATTATTCTTGGCGGCCAGAGTAACTTCCGGTCAGTGACATCACTAGAAAATTGGACATCACTGGAAAGTGCCGGCGTCACTGTGACGGCGTCACTGTGGTGGCGACGGTGGCGGTGTAATTGCCGTGAAAAATTTTACGGTGACGACTCTCGGTAATCAGAAAAAACGAACACAATGACATAAAATTTTGCAGTGACATCATGTTTTCGTATTCCAAATATATGACCTTGTTAATCATTTTTTTATCAATTTTTAAAAGTACTCAATTCCACTAAAAACTAAAAAAAAAGGAATTAAGAAAAAAATTGACTCCGCTAAATTGGCCTAAGAGAGCCACGTGAAGAAGGGCACCTAATTGCCAGAGCTCGGTTCTTCAATCTTCAGTCTTCTCCTTTCATACGAATTTGGGGCCAATGAACCCGACCCCCACGCCTGAATGCACCAAATGCGGTAATTCATATCTTCACAGCTCTGCTTTTCCCTTCATGGCACTTCAAATCTGGATATTTGAACTGGATAAGGCTATGTTTTATTTCGCGACTTGAATTCTTCTTGTTCTCGAGATGCATTTAGCTGCTCTGAACTGGTATTCCAAAAAAATAATGAATTTATGTTTTTGTAGATCAATTGCTTACTTAGTACCCCTCTAAGGCTCTAACACACGGTTGGCAAGAAATATAAAATCTACTTTAGAAAAAATGGTTCTTTGGGTGCTTATGCTTGGAGATGTATCTGTATGCTGTTACCGTAAGACTTTTACTGCAAGAAAGTTTCTTTCAATTTTTGGAATATTTTGAGACGGAAACAGTAAAAAAACCTAAGTGGACTGAAGGTTTATTAAGTGTTTATGGGAAGTGTATCAATTTGAGCTTTAGAAGAGCTGCTTTGGTTGAAGATTTGAGAAGTCTTGCCCAAAGGGGATTTTAAGCTAAATTCAATGCTCGATGCTTATTCAAAGATAGAAAGACAGAAAGTTTATTAATTAATTAGGTGTGAAGTGATTTCTGGTTTTGATGGCTTCAATTAGAAGGACATTGTCCCCGGTGCCTAGGGTGGGGAGTCCTATGAACGGGGAAGCATGCCCACTTTCATCCTCTCCGTTGTCCAAGTCATCCTTGAGTAATCAGAACCATTTACCCCCAAGTTTTATGTTTCCATCACCCATTGCATCATTGGATTATGCATTGTTCAGAGCACAAAGTTTTATACATGGTTTTATCTCCCATAGAAAACCCTTAGAGAGGTCAAAGTTAAGGGGGAAAATTTGGAAGAGATCCCTTCTCCATTACTTCTCATGTTTTGTTCTCGGGGTCTTTCTAGGCTTCACTCCTTTTCTTTCCCCGATTTTGTCCCCCCAAAAGGACGAAAAGGTCAACAATCTGTCATTGAGAGCTGAGAATGTGGTGATCGTGGACAATTCGACGACATCGGATTCACATCCCAAGAATAACATGGCGATATATGGGAATGATGCAAATGTTCATTTCAACCAAACAATGGATTTCCACAAACTCTTAATAGTTGTGACTCCAACAGAGCCTCGTCCCTTTCAAGCATACTACTTGAATCATATAGCACATACATTAAAACGGGTCCCGCCACCTCTGCTGTGGATAGTTGTGGAGATGAACTCCCAATCTTTGGAAACAGCTGATTTGTTGAGGACAACGGGAGTAATGTACAGGCATTTGGTGTGCAATAACAATAAGAATGTGACAGAAATAAAAAGAGACAAACTTGTACACATGAGGAATGCTGCACTATCGCACATTGAAGCGCACCGCCTTGATGGGATTGTTTACTTTGCTGATGATGATAAGACCTATTCTCTTCAACTCTTTCAGGAAATACGAGATATCAGGTTCTGTATTCCACATGTTCATTCTTTATATACATATTAACATAATTACTGTTAAAAAACATGTCTGTGCTCTTTGCGGTGTTTGTCTACAATGTGAGTTTGTCCCGTATGATGGTTTACTGTGGAACTAGTTCAGTTCTTCCGTATCTGAGTTTATTTCTGTTTTCACACTCATCTTCTTCCAGCTTGCTCGTGCTTAGTCATATCACGTTGACAAAGTATACAAATATAGGACCTTTTACGTTATAAGCTAACTCTTAATAGTTTGCCAGAGTTTTGATTATAAAGTCCAAAAGTTTGCATTTATCTGCACAACCATTTTTATGAGTTGAAAGAAATGAAAATATAGTAAAAACATAATGAAAAAGGCTGCTGTGTGAAATACATATGTGATGTTTTACATCCAAAGTAGGTTTTTTATTTTCTAAACACTGTGTTTACCCATTTATGTAATATGAATTAGCGTATTTGTTACATGACATTCATATAATAAGAAGCAAACAGCCAAACGCTAGTTGAAACTCAGTTAAAAATTGTAAGAATTCAGTTGTATGACTTTATTAATTAATATTGGTACCTTAAACCCGACTACAAGCTCATATGGGGGAGGGGGTTTAATTTTGGCTGAATTTGTTGAGTGAGCTGAGTTTTTCTGAAACTGGGGTGGAAAAGATGAATGAGATATTTAATAAGTTCATAGGAAATAATATCTAAAGTGCATAAAAGTGGTATTTCTATCTATTTCACCAAAAAAACTTTTAGATTACATTTTTCTTAATTCAGAGATTCAGTCAAGTTAGTGTTTGGTAGAAAGTCTAATTGATCTCGTGCATAAAGCTAATAATAACTCAAACTAATCATTTGTGCTACCAAACAGAGTAAAGCTAAAAATCAGAGTATTCTGTCATGACAAGAAGACACAAGGATCCCATAAAATTTATAATAAAAAATTAGGATATAGTTTTGGAGCACACGACATTTTGCCAAGTCCGAAGAGAGTTGGGTTCCGTTTCTAGTTAAAAACATTTCATTTTTAATTTGATTACAAAAATTCATGAGCCTCATTTACTAACAATTTACTCAAATATCTCTTCTTATTTAGAAAATGATATTATTGTGCTTTGGATCATTTTTCTCTTTGTAAAAATTTGCTTCAGCTCTCTTTATCATTTGTGATCCGGATTCCAGATTAAACTCCTACTGTTTCAGACCAAAAATGGTTGCTTAGAAATGTATAATTAGGTAGAACTTTTCTAAGAAATAAAGAATGCAGTGATTGTTGTGTGGACAGGCGGGTTGGAGCATGGCCAGTGCCAAGAATGGCTGAGAATAAAAAGCATGTTATCTGGGAAGGTCCTATCTGCAAAGGTAAAAAGGTATTAGGGTGGCACACTGATGATAGGAGGAAACGTATCCGGAGATTCCAAGCACAAGTGTCGGGATTTGCTTTCAATAGCACAATTCTCTGGGATCCTAAGCTGTGGCACAGACCTACGCTTCAACCCATCAGGCTCATTCATAGTGTTAAAGATGGCTTCCAGGTGAGTGAATTACTTTTTTGTTCTCGCATTTGTTGGTTTGAATACTGTTGATTTGATATAAAATACCCTTAAGTGACCAATATTCCCTTAGCCCTCTGCTTTTCAGTTTTCCCTGCTCCTACCCTTACTTGTTTAGTGGCGGTTATTCTTCTTGAGTTTTACCATATTCTTTGCAGCATTTATCAATGAGAAATTGAGAATTGTTTCTGAAAGACCGAAATTTTATCAGCATGTCATACTGAAGCTAGGCAGCTAGCACTGATAGCTCAGTTTTCAATTACTAAATGATGTTTAGATTTTACAACCAACAAAAAGCGTGCAACCGAGTAGAGTATAGTGTTCTCATAATATCATCATCCCACTTCACTCGTAACTAGGGGTGCAAACGAGCCAATCCGAGCCCGCACTCACATATGCTCGAAATCGAGCTCAGAAATATTTTACATGCCCAAGTTCAGCTCGAGCTCGATCGAGCTTAAATATTGAAACTCAAGTTCGAATCGAAAGCTTTGGTTGAGCTTGCGAGGCGCTCGAGATTGACTCGAAAGCTTAGCCATTTATCACAAACTTTAATAATGTGCTGCTTGCTTTGCGCTCAATTGTTTCCATGGATATGAGGTGCTTTATAGCTGGCTGCTAGAAGAAACTACTCCTCAATTGTTTCTAGTACTCCGTAATTAGAAACTAAAAACTAATGGAGTTTTGAAATCCTACAGAGTACACAAAAATCTACCTTTGAAGGGATTCGAACTCGGACTGCTTATGAAGTCTACAAGGGAAATTCCACCTCTTCTACCAACACGTTTGTGTGTATTTTGATGTCAATTTTTCTTTATTCTCATTCCCAGTGAACTAATGAAAAAACTAATACTTATTATAGATTATAATTATTATAGATAATGATTATAATAATAAATAATGTTATATTTAATTATTTCTATTATAATATACGTAGTAATAAGTATTAAAAATAGAGTAATCCTAAATTAGAATAACTATTCCAAAAATATTATATATATAATTATTATACATAATATATCTATATACACCCATCAAGGCTCGCGAGCCACGAGCCTAAAATAATGAGGCTTGACTCGAGCTTGTTTAGTATACGAGTCGAACCGAACTCGAGCCAAACTTGAATATGACCGAACTCGAGTCGAGCTTTTCCCGAGCGATCCACGAGCGGCTCGTGAATGGCTTGGCTCGTTTGCACCCCTACTTGTAACATTCTTTTAGTTTTTTTAATTTCAATTTCTGATAGAGAAACAAGGAAATGGGTTTGCCAGTTGAATATTTCGTTTTTTAGTTTTCCAAAAAAAAAAAGAATTTAAGAAATGATTGAGAATGAGATTTTCTTGTTTTCATTATTTTTGATAACATGTTTTCAGTTTTGATATTGTCTATAAAACATTTAATTTTTTTATAAGGGAAAATAAATTTAGATATTAGGAACTATTGACTAACTATTTCATATCCCAAGTATTCAAATGGAGTATATAGCAAACCATCAAAAACTTATATCAAACTGACAAATAAAGCTTATTCGATGGTTTGATATTATTTTCTGATGGGTTAAGTTACCGTGTTTAATGTAAAAAAGTAGGGCCTTAACATTTCTCCTTATATATTTGCAAGGTTTGAGTATGAAATAGGTAATTTTATAGCATGCAATGTTATGAGTTGAGGGACAATAGTTAGTATTATTTAAAGTTGTTTTTCGCTTTTAAAATGAATAGTACGGAGTATAAATCATGTACCGAAACAGACTAACCAAATATGTTATACATTTTGAAAAGTTGAGAACCAACCAAAAAGAAATTCTGAAGGCAGATAATGTGAAACATGAAACATTACCAAACAAACCTGAAGAAATCATGTTGTGAAACATTACCTAACAAGCCATAGATTACCGTAACATTCTCCAATTGCTTTCATAGCAGTAATATGATATTACCATAAAATCTCATAACCTGAATCAAACAGGGCCCTCCTCTACCTCACATTCTCATTTCATCCATCTGAGTTACTCTCAATTGATCTATCTGTACATTTGTTCTTAGCTTATATTTTCTTTATAATTAAATAATCATGCCCCCACTCTTTTTTATTGAACTTTTGATGTAGTTCTTAGTTTGTATGTTCAATTTGCTTATATTAAATTATACAAAAGTAAAATTAAAATATTTTCAGGTTTGTCTGGTCCCATAATTTAGGCATAAAATAGGAAGGTGGGAGTAATATTACATATTTATTTAATGAGACACACTTGTTATGTAATGTGGGATTACTTAGAACCAAATGCCCGCCCTCTCAATGAGAATGTTGGTATTCATAACATGAGTAGTTGGCATTGCGTCTGCGTAGTTATATGTATGACCGGTCAGCTTCTATGTTTTCCATTCCAGGCGACTACATTCATTGAACAATTAGTGGAAGATGAAAGCCAAATGGAAGGTGTTCCGCTGAACTGTTCAAGGGTCATGCTATGGCAATTTGACATAGAAATGTCATATGTTAATTACAGCCCTATTACGAGAAATCATTCAACCACTACCCTTGTATGGCAATAATAATAAGAATGTACGTAGTGTCGTTAGCTTGATTCATGACAGCTGATTGCCTGCCCATTGTGCTTTGCTGTGCTCCCTCTGCCTCTACTAAGTTCGTATCCACACGTACGCCGCAGCAGCACGTCCAATACATGATGATATTCAAGCCAAGTCATTTCATTTGCCTAAACTTTATTACAAGCCCGTTTTTTCTGTTCTAACTTCTATGGTAGATTTTTTTTTTGTTTTATGATCTGTTTAGGGTGTGCCATTCACTATGTTCTGCAGAACTCATCTGTATTATTTAATTTAGTAGGTATTCAAAAATATTCTTGAAATTTAATTAGTGGATAAAAATGTGAGAAAAGATACTATTAATATATTGTCATGGTCATTGGAATGTATGATGAAATATCACGCTAAGATTATACACTAAAATCAACATCACATAATTATACATAATTATATATGATAGTCATATATCATATATATACTCCCTATATTATAGAATGACATAGTACCTGGATTCATGATATTATTATAGATGAATGAATAGATTTATTCTATTATGATTTATGAGTACAAGTTTAGTATATTATTAATCCAACTATAAATTTAGAGCCCATTTGGTAACATTGAAATTGGTTGAATTGATCGATTTTGTTGAAATTTATGAAGTTCTAATTGAAGTGATTGGATTGGTTGATTCTGTTGATTTATGAAATAATTATATATTAAATATATTTTACTAATAAAATAAAGAAAAAAATGTATGAAAAATAGCTAATATGGTCCTCTACAGTAACTACAGTCAATTCAGTCAGAAAAGTAACTTCAATTGTACTTATTTTGGTTATTATACAATTAAGTGCGCGTAACCAAAAGTTATGTGTTTGGTGAAAAAGTTGGTTGATAGGGCTACAAGCCTACAAGTCGGAAATAGGGCCACCAACCGGCTCGTAGGACTGCATAGACCATTGATTTCATCATTAGCATGTAAGTCAAGTACGTGACCAAATATTAGAATATTATAATTAAAAATTGGGAAAACTATCAAATTGGTCTTGGTACTACAACAAAAATCACAATTAGTCCCCGTACTATAAAATTATCCAATCAATTCCTTAAACAATCAAAAAACGCCTAATCAAGTCTTTTAGTCGGTTTCTAACTGGGCAATCAAATAACAGTTTACGTGGACTATATGTGGCGTGAATTTCTCCTTGTTGGCATGTTACTAGCAATCTACATCATCATCATCTCATAAGGTAACCAAATATGTATCTGCAACTGAAAAGAAGGGATTTGTGTGAACGTGGCCCACATTCGATAGTCGAATAATCTAAGAATAATATGAAGAATTTAAACTATAGAAGAGAAATTCAACAATACCGTATATCGTGTATTAATAATGATGAATCCATGAAGAACAATACACATTACTCGAGATATATAGAATGAGAAATTCTAATCTAGGTGCTCTACGAAAATAATATGCGGAAACAGAATGTGTAGAGACTTAGAGCAGTTTCAGCCATCTCAGTCTGTTTTTATAGGGAGTGGTTCGAACTGCCTTATTACAATTAGGAAATAAATTGGGCTGTGCGTGTGGGCTTATGTAGAGCTATTAATTAAGGCCTAATTCTCTCTCAACTAATCTAATTAATTACACAGACTCATTAAATAAATTACAGTTAATTTGAACACAATAAAATAATATTCTAACATCCCCCCCCCTTTGTGTTCCAATGTCGATGACGCGCAGTTTATCTCGGAGTCTTGTACAATGACTTTCGATAACCAAGTATGACTTCATAATGTTTGAGAGTCCTTCTGAAATCAAGTCTAACACTTATGGCTTCGGCAAAATCTCCGATGTGAGCAATCTGGATTGGGTCTTCTAGATCCTCTGAATTTTTCAATTGCAGTGCAACTTCTTCCAAAAGTTCTTCTATGATTCGGAGCGTACCATCGCAATACTTATGAATTTCGTCCAAGAGCAGGATCCGCTTGATGCCTTTGTAATCTTTGTAAATGATGTCTGTCTCTGGATGTCTAGTGATGGCACCTTCTTCAAAATTTTCTATCCAGGGAGCTCTATTTCTCGGAGTAGTTAGATTCACTTTGCTGTAATTGCTCTCAATGCCCATCTGTAGATCAAAAAGAGAATAATATTTAATCTGTCGCATCATGAATCTCTTGATGGCATTGAGACCAAGTTCTCTGTCTTTATGAGGAAGATCTTTCATTCTTGCGTTCCTGTATTCGTAGAAAAGCCGTATAAGGTCGTTCTGAACAACATGGTAGAGATCAGCTTCTGAGACTCTTTGTATCACTCCTTTTTGTCGCTCAAACTCTATCACATGATATCTCACTAATCCACAGCTATGAATTTCTACTGAGTTGATCCCGATGATAAGAGAATCAGAATGTTTCTTCAGTCGCTCACGATGTCCATAAGGATCATTCTGATCTGCAGACATGTTCCTTAGCATACATATGTGTCCAGAAATTGCGGTTCCTTCTAAGTGTTCCAGTCCTCTCATCTCAAGCTTATCAATCTTCTTGATACTCTTTTCATTTCTCCAAATCCTCGGTCTCAGATCTTCTTGAAATGGAACAATGATTGTGACGTTCTCCTAAGGTGTCTCTAACTTGTCTTCATTGCTTATTCCTTGAAGATTGTCTTTTTCGTTGCGTTCAACTCATTCTACCAGCAGCAGGTCAGAAGCCGATTGTGCTTTGACTTCCTCAGATGTATCGCATTGTGCTCTTCTCTTTGCAGCTCTTTTCTTTGAAGATGTGGGTTTAGAAGATGTAGGAATTAGCAACAGATAGAGCAGATGTCGTCAATTGTGTTTTTGGAACCTGTGGCACAGAAATCGGAGGGACAGGAGTGGGTAAGGTAACACCGGAGTCACAAAGACTTACCGTTTTGATCATACTAGAGACTTGCTCGTTCTGACGGCCTAAAGATAATGGTGATTCATATGTTGCATTGTCAGGACTTCCTTTCGATCCTTGGTCTACATCCATAAAGGATGAGCCTATAGAAGTTCTCGAGAGGACACAAAGTCCTAGCTCAGTAGAAAGGGGCATGAAAGGGTGAAAACGGTTAAGGCTAAAGAGTTATGAGGGGCTTCAGATGATGAGGGTTAAGGTTGAGAAGAAGATGATGGTTTAGAGCTTGTAGAATATGGGATAAGAGATTATGAAGTGGTTTGCTCACAGTTACGCTGCCTTTTCTCCCCCTCATGATGATCTGAGTCATCGAAGTCATCATGCTTACGCTTAGGCTAGTGCTCCTGATCACGACAGGATGTGGATGGGATGTAAGGTGGGGCGAGGGCAAGGATGTCGCGGACTTGTAAGAGGTGTGGTGGAAGGTTAGGTTCGGGTAGGAGTCTATCAAGAAAATAATCAGATAAATCAATGATAATCATTTGGGTTGGGTCAGGGTGTGAGGTAGATGGTGTGGACATGGTGGATGTGGGTATGATGGTGGTAGATGTGATGATGGATGGAAGAGTTCCTATGGAGTGAGTTAGGTGTGATCCTTGGTCTGTTATGCCTATTGGGAGGGACTACATGACGTAGGTCTTGTAAAAGTGAAAGCTTGAAGGCTAGAAGCTCAGACCTTAGATCATCCCTAATTAAACTAGCAAAAGAAGAAAAATCTGACCTAAAAGAAGTATCAGTTCTCACAGCATCACTAAAAATAGCGGTGTCATGGCCTGCTGGGGAGTTCAGTGTGGCAGAACTTCCAACCGTCATAGGCGTACCTCTGGTTGTTGTGACAGGTGGTAATGAGCCTGTATCAGTGTGTGCTGTAGTAGGTTGTGCCCTAGAAAATGATAAAAATTTTGGGATGGTGGACACGTGACCTAAAGTGCATTGGGTAGCAGTGTGAGGCGATTCACTTATGTGTTCCCCTTGTTGGGTTGAAACAACTATTTGTTGGGAGACAATTGAGTAGTTTAGGCTTGGTTCATTTTGCGCTATTGAACTCGATGTAGTGACTTCTACTCGAGAACTGACAACGTCAGAACCTGTACCTATGGGCTGAGTTCGGATTATTTCAGTGAATGGGATTGATGAAACAATTAAAGCATTGGAGGAGGAGCCATCAACTCTCTTGGACTGAGTCTCACCTGCCCTCTTTTTAGGTTTAGTCACTCTCGAACCCTTACTTCCACTCGGCTTAGAATTCCCTTGGGTAGACACAGTTGGGTTTGATTGTGTCGTAGGGACAGAAGAGATACTAACCTTGTATTCGTTGACGTGCGGATCATTTGGAGCAGCTAGGTTGAGAAGTGCATCTGGTATGGGCATTGGCTGCATCTCATTATCGTTCTCTGTATTCTTGAAGTAAAGAAGCTGAGGGATCTCTTGCTGCTCTGTTGATGGTCTTTGAGGTATGCTGGTATCTTCCTTCATGAAATGATCGATCAGAATGGAGAACCAACGACGTACATATGGGATGTACTTGATCTTCTTGTTTGATGTCCGGTTGTTTAGTTGCTCTAGGATCTCCAACCAGACCAGTTGTGCCCAATCATAATTTTTTAAGAACATCACCCTGTGGACCAGCTTCAAATGTCCTCTGAGAATAGAGACCATCATCTTATCTTGACACTTGAATACAGCTGGATCCAGAGCATAGTTGTTATCTTTGGTATCGATCCAGCATTCCTTAGGGTAAACTTCCTCCTCATTTATGGAAGCCATTTTTGCTTGAATTGTACAGATTTAAACAAAGATTAGTCAAAGAATGGGCTTTGGGCTTTGATTTTAGGATGACTTGGGCTTTAAGGGTCAAATGGGCTTTGGATTTGAGCAGTGAGCTTTGGTTTATGGGCTTGAATGCGGATCTTAGGATCTCGGAGCCTGTGCTTTAATGATTTCAGGTGTTAGGTTGGATGAGGGATTTCGGTAAAGGGATTTCTGGTAGGGAACTCGAGGGTCAGTTTTCGGGTAAGGCATGAGGATTTCGGATGCCTGAGTTTGAGGATTTTGGGACTGATTTCGGGTAGCTGGTTTTTGTGAAGGAATTCGGGCTCAAGGATCTCGGCTACAGATTTTGGTTGCCCGTCATACAGATTTCGGGGCCAAATGATTTCGGGTCCCCTTCTGGGTTTTGGATTTCGGTAGCCCAGTGGATTAAGATTTCGGGAGTGGTTTTTGGATGCCCGAAATTGAGGATCTCGAAAGGATTTCTTGGGAGTATGATTTCGGTTGGGACCTTTGTTCGAGGTTGGATTTCGGGTTTAAGGATTTTAAAAGGTCATGAAGTAAAGGTTGTTGGCTACTGTGTTTTTGAAACAGGGGATGGTTTGAGGCTGGGGAATGGTTTATGGAAGATGCTAAGCAAGCTACAGTCCTCGATGATAATGGGGTGGACGACGACAGCGAAGGGGCTGGCCGGTGGCTTTCCGGTTGTCTCGTCATCGTTTCACTGAATACCTGCAA